CTGCAAAGGGCTGCCTGAATGGCTTATTTCAGGAAATGTGATCAATGTGATTGATTCATTATTATTGAGAACTTAGCATGTGTGTATAATCAATGGATATCAAGATGTTACAATCACAAAATAAACAAGAGAGTTAGGCAAAGCAGACTATGATAACAAGAGAGAATAAATGGAAGGCTTACCTTTATGCTAGGCTCATCACAAAACACCAGAAGGAGGAATCTCCAGACAAGATCCTTCCCCACTGGCAGTCAGCTCTTAAATAGGTCTAGGAGGGGTGCAGCCAGGCTCCACCCCTTCCGGCAGCACAGGTGAATTGCCTTCAGCTGTGCTTCTCTGGCTGACTCATGGCTCGCCTCAAGTGGTCAATCAGAGGTTCAGGCCGTGATTCAGCAGTTCCCATACAATGTGCATGCTTTTTGTTTTTAAGTTACAGCTCCTTTGTCAAACCTGGGAAATAAACAGACTCGGTTCCTTCAGTAACTGATTCCCAAAGGATGCAAAAAGGACTGTCACATTTTGGGAGCAGACTTTCTTTTCTGAGCCTTTCTAATCAGCTTCTCTCTGTTTGGGGCCACGGCTGCTGGCCTCTTGCCTCCTAACAGCTACAGCAATATCAAGGGAGGCAGAGAAGTACCTCTCCTCCCTGACTCCAGGAGTAGAAAATCACTTTCTTACCAGGCCAAGTGCACTCTGACCTGATCGCAGCAACCTGCAGACTGGAGCCTTTGGTTTGCTCCAGACAGCACTGTGCCTGTGTGAAAGCTTTGATCATCTTCACTGTTTTAATTTACCTAGGTGATCAGAAAGCAAGGGGCTTGTTCAAAAATTTCAGATACAACTAAGCACAATAACTGCATGTTTTGGCCCTGTAAATGTATTTGAATTATTTTGAATTAAATCAGCTAAGCCACCAGGACGAGTAGTTACAAGCTGTGTAAATACATTTCTTGTTCTGTGTGCTACAGGTTATGCAAGGAGTTTAGCTGAAATCCAGGGTGGCAGTTAGGAAGCTCAGGTGTCTTGGATTAATCACATAGTCTCATCAGTGCCACCAATTTCTCCCCTTGTTGCTTGCCAATTTGTAAAATATACTGGAAGAAGTGAAGTGCTTTGATCTATTTATTTATATGGAATGATTTCAAACAGAGATCACTTTTTACCACGTGTCCTGGAAACACTTTTGAAAACCCCCTCTCTATCCTGCAGATGAGCAAACACTATGTGATATTCCAAGAGGATAGCATTACAGCAGATAACACGGTATGTAATTAAATAAAAGATGGCAGTTTTCCATATGTCACCTTTCTAGAGGTAATCTAATTAGATAAGAATTAATTATGGATATGCAGGTTACATGTCACATCCATTGCTGTGATTGCATAACCCAGTCTCACACTGCCAGAAAGAGCAGAGCAGTTGTTAGACTGTGTTGCCTAAGAATGAATTCCTAGGGAAATGGAGAGGAAATACATCTTGCAAATGAATTCTACTTACATATAGTATTAACTGTCAACATGGTCTACCAATGAAGAAAAAGAAAATTCAAGAACAACTCACCAGAATAATATAAAGGGACCTTAACAGTAAAGAAGAGGCTTGTTAGATACTGAGAAAGCTGAAGGAAACCATGAGTTAGCTGAATTAATCATGTTTTTAATGAAAAATAATTTAGAAAGCCAACATGAGCTGTCTCCAGCAAACTGATTTTTTAAAAATATTTAAAATCATTCCGTTTCTTCACTTTTGTCTGTGTTCTTTCTTCCTCCCATTCCTGCAACATTTTTCCCTCTGCCTGTGAGGATCACAGTAGCTGCCTTCTGCAGAACAGCAATCTCATTTTGTTTACCTTGTGTTTCAAAGAGAATTGAACAAGCCCAGGATTCGCCTTCTCTAAACAAATACTTGCAAGACAAAGGTATCGCAGCTATTCTAGGGACAAAGGGTTTGTGAGATGGAGAACGGTGAAGACTGGCAAGAAAAGAAGAGTCAGTGTGTTTTTATCTGGAAAAAAGTTAATCCTTTTCACAACCTCATTTTCTTTGCTTTAGAGATAGCTCTCCTTTTTCATTTAAGTTTTAGAGTTTTTCATCCAAAGGAACTGAGAAGCCAAGGTGTTTTCTTTGTTCCTGTCAAGTAGCTTGAACAGTTTGAGAACAGAAACCAGTCAGAGCAGTGTGATTAGCTTAGCCAATTAGGGTGGATTTGCATATTCAAAACAGAGCTATGGAGAAATAATTCTTCAGAGATAATGCGAGCGTGGCAATGCCTGTCTGCCAGTCAGTGCATCCTGGCTCCTGTGCTGTGCGGTAATTGAGAAACAAACACGGAATGAGTCTGAGATTGGGCACCCACAGCCAATCCACGTGCTGGCAACGTGCAGCTTGGGAGGGATGTGTATTCACAAGGCAGAAGCTTTATGACATCCTTGCACGCTGGAAAAGGTTAATCTACAATCCATTTACATAAAATGCAGCAGCGTCTGTCAAATGAGTTGGTTCTTCAAGACTCTTTCCAGCTACAACTTGTGCTAGCTACCACTGTGTGCTGACTCAAACCTCGTCCGGAGTTTTGGGCTACGTGGCTTTTTATACGATGGCAGATGACTGGGGCCTGAATGCCCTGCTGCTCTGCCCTTCAGCTCAGCCAGGTGCGCAGCCCAAGGGGAGGTGAGCTTTGTGCAGCAGCCCAAAGGGCAGGCCATAAAACTGCACTCTTCTGCCCCAGCAGGCCTTGCAGCAGCAGGGTGTTATCCAAGGAGCTGGAAAGAGAGCAAACAGTCCTTCAGGAAACCTTGTGATAACAGACCAGGGTGGATGATCACTGCAGCTTTATTATCACTGAAAGTGAAAAATCACCTTATATGCTGTAGCAACGACAGTGTGTGCTCCGTTTCCATGTTTCTCCTGGTACTGCTGCGTGGTGTCTTTACCAGTAATTGCAGGCGAGCATGGCTGTGGCCTGCATCTTCTGAACGCTCTGTTTATTTATGGAGGGGCTGACAAGTTGCTGTCTGCTATGTGCAGCAGCCACATATGGTGATTTTAGAAAGATACACGGTGATCCCTGTCCTTAATTCTCCTGACTTTGATGTTGGGGGCTGAAGTTGCAGAGTCCAAATGCAACGGATCAGGTTAGGAGAGGCGCAGTAGGGCCTTCACCCAGGTACAGCTACACAGGCTGCATGCTCTTCCAAGACTGCTAAGGAAAGAGCAACACAAAAATTAACTTGTACTCACTGCTACAGAATCTCAAGGAAAACTTAGCAGAATCCTTCAAATTAGATTATTCTACAAATCATAAGATTATAAACTGGTGCAGTATTTGCCAGAATAAAGATTATGTGCTTGCAGGCTCCATGCCACATAGAGGCATTAGGCACATTTAGTTGAGCAGGAATGTCTCCCTCCAGGAAGATAATTTTTTTATAATTGTTCATGATAGGGATTTTTTACCTATTTCTAGAACGCTCACTGCTAGGTATCTAGTCCACTGAATCAAGTAGGATTTTTCTGGTCTTACTTTATGAATATCCACAATTGTCTCTTTCCTTCCTATTCCCGTTGAGGCACCAGCTTTTTATTAGAAAGTTAATAAACTTTGTGTATGTTCTAAAGATAATATTGAAAACTGCAAAATTGTGTTCTGCATTTTATAATTGGTGTGGAAAAAAGGAGGAGATCTAATCCTATTGGGCCTTCTTTGCTCTCTTTTGCTCTCTCTCTCCCTTTTTCCCCTTTGATGGTAAGCAGCAAATTTTAATTAGCTTCATTTCCACAATTCAGTCATGCATATGTAATCTTTGTTCACACTTTTATAAAGTAAAATTAAGTGAAAGAAATTGGGTAATAATAGAAAGCTTGTCTGAGCAGAACAAATGTGAATTATCAAACATAAGGAAAGATGACTGGGACTACAGGGCTTGAAGTTGTGCAAGTTTTGAGGTGATTTTTCTAAAACAGAACTGCATAAATAATGCATAGAAACAGGTGCTGATTATCCTGTTTTGGGCATCTTTTGTTCATTATGTACTTGGGCTGCTGAGGTACAGTGATAACCAGTGGATGTGAGGAGACTGCTTAATAACAGCTTTCTAATGTTTCTCTTTTATCATGAGCTGAAAGTGTCACACGAGCTCGTCTAGTTAATAAAAATCACTTTGTGAACCCACTGTTCTTAGATTTGGTGCTGGAGAAGATTGCTGTACTGGGCCACTCTTTTGATTATAGCTGCAAAAGTTGTTCTGCCGTTTTGCATTGTAATTTAAAGGTTTCCTAATCCATATACACACCCTCTAATTAAATGTTTCCAGGGGTTACCTTGGGAGCCTTCAGTGCTATGGTTTGAAACTAAAACTAAAGAGTGCATTAAATTCATTCTCCCTGGGGTGAGACACGAGAGGGAAGTACGTTTTCATCCCCTGCTACTTCTGATTATTAGAAAGTATGAGCATAATTGGGACCACTAACTTCACTCTTTTTGTTATCTGATGTGAGAAGATGGAAGTTTAAAGGCAGACAATCAATGTGTCTAAATCTGGAGTTCGATTTATAACTTGTGAGAAGATTCATCAGCAGGAACTAAAAACCAGAACCTTCTGTTGAAGTAAATTGGTCCATGGCCACAGAAGCTGCATAACAGACACCACAGCACAGATGCTGAGGTCTTCATTAAAGGATATGTAAAGTAGAGAGGCGCGTTGGTGTCACTGCACAGAGAAGTAAAGTCTGGAGCCCAGTTAATGTTAAACTTACGAGCAGATATTTTCCCCTCAGTGCTTGTTCACGCACTCAGCCTCACCCCACCAATCTAACAGGTTTAGGAGAAGCACCTTTTTTTGTCCTTGAGAAGGAATTCTTATTACAGGAAGTGATTTCAGACTTGGGCTTTTTTTTTTCTTTTTTTTTTCTTCCTTCCCCTAACTCGCCTTTGCTACCAGTGACTGGGAGCAGGCAAGATTTAAGTTAATGGTTAACAGGGCCACACAGAAACTCTGACTTCCTCCTACTGAGGTCAGGACAGAAAACTGCCTCTGCTCGCAGAGGAAGAGACGAGAGCTGAGCAGTTCACATCACAGAGGGACTGGGGAGCAGTAGCTTCACGCAATAGAGAAAAGAGGAGGAAAATCCAAAAAGAGCAAGAACTGTTTGCTGTAAAGATTGGTAAGAAACAAGATACTTTCTTTCTCGCTTAGATTACTGACTCAACAGTTGTTGCTAACAAAACCCATAGGTGTGGCTAGTTGAGACGATTTCATCGTACCTGACTGCTTGGACTTGTGTGTATTTGTGTAGGGAGCAAGGTGAGAAAAGATTGATTTGTGGTGGTATCAAACATCAGAGTGGCTTTTCCTCCCTTTTCCTCCTCCTAGAGGTTGCTGATGGCTGAACAGACACCCTCTTCAGACTGTTCTCATCTCATTGACCACAGCCACATCCCTGAGTTTGAGGTATCTCCTTGGATCAAGATCACTTTGGCCTTGCTCGACATCTGCATCTTTATAGCAGGCATCTTGGGCAACAGCATCACCATCAAGGCTACCAGGATCCTGCAGAAGAAAGGCTACCTGCAGAAGGAGGTCACGGACCACATGGTGAGCCTAGCCTGCTCTGACCTGTTGGTCATCCTGCTGGGCATGCCCATGGAGTTCTTCAGTGCCATTTGGAAGCCCTTTGCCACCCCAAATGGCAATGTGGCTTGCAAGCTCTACTATTTCCTCTTCGAAGCCTGCAGTTATGCAACTGTGCTGCATGTGGGCACCCTCAGTTTTGAGAGGTATGTGGCTATCTGCCACCCTTTCAAGTTCAAGGCAGTCTCTGGGCCCCGTAAAGTGAAGATCCTCATCGCTTTTGTCTGGGGGACATCTGTCATCGTGGCTCTGCCCCTCCTCTTTGCCATGGGCACAGAGTATCCACTGGAAATCATTGAAGACTATCAAGGTGCGACTGCCTGTGCCAAGTCAGCTGCCAGACACCACAATCCTGAACTAAAGAAAAACATGACAATCTGTACCAGCCTCTCCTCCAAGTGGGCCATCTTCCAGGCCAGTATCTTCAGTGCCTTTGTAGTGTACATCATAGTGCTGGGCTCAGTTGCCTTCATGTGCCGCAGCATGATGAAAACCCTGATGATCTACAAGAAAGGAACTGTGGCAGTGAAGGGTGAGCCTGGACAACAGGAGCAGTACCTAAGGAAAAGCGAGAGCTCAGAGGGCAAGAACTCCAGGAGACAGATCATTTTATTCCTGGGTAAGAGACTCCTCACCCCTGCCCTCTTTCCAAAGAAGGGAAGGAAACCCAGGAGCTTCTATCTTAGAAAGTGTTTCTGCATGAAGGATCTATGGCTCGAGGGGGAAAGGAATACTATTGTTTACAGTGATATGTTTTAAGAAACCTGATTTCCCTATGTGTTTTTGACTGTGTTGCTAGAAGAACTGGGAGGGAACATGGCAAGAAAAATCCATTTACTGTCTAATAGGTATTTTGTCTGATAATAATGTATGCCTGTGTGATGCAGAAGCGGTAACAGGGTATTGATGCTTGACCTGTGGGGTAGCAGTAGGCACAGTTGCCAGGATATAAAGCAGCTCTATTTGCATGTCCTCCCATTAAATTACAAATACGTGCATATTTAGTAAGACTCTTGATAAGAGGGAGGACTGCCGTGCAAGATCTAGAGTTTGTCCCACACTGAAGGCAATTACTTACTAACTCGAGGTGCTCTCAGGAGGGCACTTACTTAGCTGGGGCTCTTGTGGCTGTGTTGCATTTGAACATTAAGAAGGCTGGGCTGGAGAGCTGATTTGGTCTTGCAAATAGCTGTTGCCCTCTTTGAGGTTTTTTTTTCATGGTTTTATTTGAAGGTCTGTAGCCTTGGAATTATTTGATTCTGATCTCTTTTGCTGCATTTGTCAGACAAAAACTAATCAAGCTGTCATTTCACCAACTTGGAATCTTTCCGGGCTGTGATCCATGCATTCTCCATGTTGATGCTCTTAGAGGCACGCTTAATCATGCCTTGGCTGAATCATGGGTAGTTCTTGTTTTGTTGAGTTGCTCAATAAGATACTGGCTATAATAAATGAGCCATCTTGTGTGCAAACGCACAGACCCAGAATTTCTACACTGCTTTTTGGTGCTCTGCTTGATGTTGAGGGGGGGGGGTTAAAACTCGTGGGTCTGTCCTCTTCTAGAGCTTTGTGTAGATTAGCTTTTTTGTTAGTGTTTTGTTTTTTGATAGGGCTGGTAACTTGAGGTTGTGGGGAAAGGATGGAGCTGTGCTGGTGCTGAGTGTGATGAGGGCTTCATATAAGAGATCATGGAATGGCTTGGGTTGGAAATGATTTTAAAGATCTCCTACTTCCTTCCCCCCTGTCCTGGGTTGACAGGGATACCACCCAGTAGATCCAACCTGACCTTGAACACCGGCAGGGATGGGGCATCCATAATTTCTTCGGGCAGCCTGTTTCAGAGTCTCATTTCACTCTGAGTAAAAAAAAATCCTCCTAATATCTAATTATATCTCCCCTCTATAAGTTTGAAGCCATTCCCCTTTGTCCTCTCACTGTCTGCCTGGGAGATGTGACACTTAAGGCTGCACAGAGCTCTTCCTCATGCCTAGGGTTCACTTAGAGAAGCAGTCATCTTGTGCCAGGTGTCTGTGAGCTGTGGACAAGAGACCCCATGTCACAATGATTGAAAGGACTCTTGATATCCTTACTCCCCTGGAAGTACTGACTGCTGGGGTAGCAGTTTAAGCTGCAGCTAAATACAGTATGTTACACAGATGAAAAAGAGATAAGGCTTTGCTCTTTAAGTTAAGTGCTACTGTGGGATCCTTAAATGTCTGTGGATCTGGCTGCTCTTGTAAATTACCATCCACAGCAACATCAAACTCTAAGATCCCAACTCTGTAGAAGTTCTGGCCAGGTTGAGAGGTGAAGGTAAGTTACTGAGGCTTTTCTTCCTCTCCTTGGCTGTTGTTCTTGCTTGGTGACAGTCCAGTGTGGAATGGAGCAGATCCATCGCTGCTTGCAGAACTGTTAAGAAGCTAAATGAAAGCAACCAGCTTGTCCTCTGTCTCGAGGGAATTCGACACCAATATCTGATGCTTTCTCAGCTTTTTGGAACAAGTAGATACTTCTGTGAATTCCCCAAAACTATTTCAGGCATCTTTCAAATGGCTCTTAATATGAGTCTTGCTAATTAACTTCTGTTGGGAAATAAATTAATAAACTGAAGAGGAAGAAACTCTAGCCTGTATTCCTGAGAACAATGCAAAGCAATTTAATTTGGAGATCTCATAAGAGTGATGCTTTAGGGCAGTTTTAACCCAGAATAAATGAACATATAAATTGTTTACAAATTGCTGAATTTAAATATAGTGATTTAGAAGTCCTCTTTGTTTTTCATTTAACAGATGGGTCAAATTAAAACAAATATTTGCTCATTTACAACATATTTCACTTTTAATGTGAAATGTGAATGACAGCATATAGCAAGTGTCTTTGAACATTTAACAACAATAAAAACAGTTTAGCATTTTCTAGTTGTTAAAAGTGGTGAGTTCAACAAAACAGAGATTAAACTCATAAATCTCCTTACGATGAGAAAAAGCCAAGTAGAAAGAGACACGAGATGGAACTGGTGCTTTTTTATTGTCATGTTACTGTTTGGTACATTAGAAAATTCATGAAAATGAATTGGAAATGTTGAAAGTGAAAGACTGCTTGCCCTGGGTAATACTGAGGCTTGCAGGACCAGCTGCAGATGGGCTGACACAGCTGTGGTGAATGAGGGTGACAAGGGGCCAAGCAAGGGGAGCAGCAAGGTGATGGGCAGGCTGCGCTCACCTGGGGAAGGGCTTGTGAAGGTCAAGTCCTTGGGCTTAAAGCCTGAAGAGGTTGGTTGAGGATTTGAAGTGTTTTTCAGCTATGCTCATGGTAGAGAGGAGGCATTGGTTCAAGAACTTTACACCCGTTGCTGTAGAGGAAGTACTTCCAGAGGCAATTCAGCTCAAATTTTGGTAGATTCCCTCCACTGGAGGAATACAAAATTGTGCCATTGTTTTGGAGAAGATCACTTTTGCTTTTATAAAATAGGCTGTGCAGTGCTATTGTTTCCAGCTTCTTTCTCACTACTGCTGTTGGCAGTAATATATTGTAAATACAATAGCACGTGCAAGTCTCTACATAATATTCCTGCTCCTGAAATTATGCATTGCATGCTTTTGGCTATACCAGGGCACACTTCCTGTAGTCTATGTCTGTGATTTTTTTACTCATGAGGTGAACCCCTCTGCCTGCAGTGGGTCAGCCCATCCCTGTGAATGGAGCAATTCTGACTGGGCACTGGGTGAGTTAAGGCAGCCTGTAAAAGACAGAGCCAGCTACTGCAATAATTAGCAGTGTTGGTTCTTAGCTGAAACAGTACAAGTTAAAACTCTTGAAGAGTCACTATCAGGTGGCTGCTTGCTGGGAAGGGGGTTGGGGTGGGACAGGACAAGCCTCTGTACTCCCCCTTCCACTTCCCAAAATCCCCCAGTGGGCTTTGCTTTGGCACCAGCTATTGTGTGCCAACACTGCCTGCTGGCACTGGTGTCACCTAATTCCTTCCTAACCTGTTCACTACTACAAAGCCTTCATACAACAGCAGCTTGTCATCAGACTAGATCTGACTGACCTGGACTCGTACTCTGTGAAAAAGCAAGTTTCGACTGTCTTAAATGAAAAATTTATTGCTTCTGAAGCTTCTGTGGTATCTCTCTTGGCAGCTTTAGTTTTTGCTTCTGCTGAAGGCCTAAGCTATATTGTATGAGGCAGCTTCAGGCCTACCACAGTAAATAAACTGAAATAGAAAAGTCCTTCAGTGTTGCTATAACCACTGCTTTTCTTTGTGTATGCATCCAGTTTGCCTTCTGGAACAGTGCTCTTCTCTGCTAGCACAGCAGAGGGGTCCTGCTACATGTGCTGCTAGGTGCTGTGGGTACTTTGCCACTTGCCAGCCAGCAGCTGTGCAGCTGAGCAGTGCTTTTCTGTCTCCTGGACATTCAGAGAGACAGCTGTCCATCTTGAGCTTCTTTCAGGAGAGAGAAGTACCAAAGAAATCCAACTGCTCTGAAATGGTTGCCGTAGATGCAGTCAGCAGGAGCTCAGCTGGAGCTACTTAACTGGAGACCACAGCTGAACCTGCCTATAAGCTAAAACTAGATGAAACTTGGAGTCAAAAACTTAAAAGATCTCTTAGAACATAAACTGGAGCACAATTTTCCCCTATATTCTAGTTCTAGGCAGATTAATGTTTTGCTCAGAAAAAAAGGTATTGTGTATAGAAATAGCCTTTCTGAAGATGACTATGGAAATTTATTTCACAAGGCACTTGGCAATTGGATTTTCAGGAGGACAAATTACTTCAAATACTCTGCAAAAAATACATGGTTGCCACAGTATAACTTGACAATGGTGGGACTTCTGGTACAGGAAAATTAGACGCTTCTTCATAGGCTGGAAATTGGCTGCTTTTTTGTTTGTTTGTTTTTTTCTTTTTTTTTTTTTTTTTCATTACTGAGAAAGGTAAAACTTGGGGATAGAATAAAATAGAAAGAAAAACATAATTGATTAGATTCCAGAAGAACACAGCTCCAGCTCGTGTTCTTTAAGCTCAGCTTCATTGACTCCTCTCAGTTCATTTCTTTAGTCATTCCACTCAGCTGCCTTTCTTCAGAGGCTTTGTTGGAGTGGTGCCTGAAGATAAATACATTGTAGGCTGTATATGATTTTCATCTTTGTGCTTTATGTGGTGTCTTCATCCATATACTCCCCTGAGCAGGGTTTCAAAATACATAAAACAAGCAGGAGTCTGTGTGCTCTAAAATGGAGCAGGCAACATGAGGCACTAGGACCAAAGGACTGGGGTCTGGCCATTCAGCTGAATGAGACACCCACCCTCTTTTGCAAGCAAGATTTTTGCTTTAAACATTGCTTTCTAGGAAGGAGATCAAAGCAAGGGATTTTCTTAGTGGTGTTCAGGAACATTTGCTTTCCTTTTCTGCAAAGGTATTAACCTGATGTCAACAGCAAAACTAATGGATGCTAACGCATACCGGTAGCATAAAACCAAGGCTCAGCAGTTCAACAGGTGGCAATGGAAAGACTGCATTGAGGGATAACAGCTTCTTGGGCCAATTCGGTACAACCTACTCTGACAATCTGTGAGATTTAAAGAAAATTACAACAAAACACAAACACAGC